AATGAAAGCTTTTTGACAAAGTTGAATAGCAAAGACAGAAGCTTGAAAACAAGGCAATATCCCTGTTTTTAGCTGTTCACGCATTATCATGGTATTATAAACTGTGGACAGTTTTCAGGATAACTAACTACTATGGGTAGTTTGAGGTGAGATACTAGGTGTTCAGACTACATTCTTTTAGCAAGTAGCACCAAGCTGCATAATTGAATCTCCAATCTACGTAGTTTTTCTATTACAAGTATACATTAATGACCTTCAGTCCATCTGTAACTAGTTCAGTTTCCTTCCCTTCTATAGAAATATCCACATCCAGACTACCGGCTTCAGTTGAACAATTTAACAAGCTGATTAGTTTCTGCAGGCATTTTCAAACCATTGTGGTTAGCTTAATCGAGGGCTGTATACACCACTGAAGGATAGGATTGTACCTACCTATGTACCAATGTACTACTGAAACTGAGGTGTCTTTTCTTCTCCAGAGAATCTATTATTAGCTACTGTCACAAGGTCAAAGAGTGCAATGGGGAGCTCAAACACTGATGCATGAAGCAAGATGCTTCCCCACGTTGGATATGTAATACCTGAGTCATCATTAGTTGTAATACCAAGGCCATGGCTTGTGGGTTGCATTACTGATCACACATTCAACTTTCAAAGTAGCCTGCTGTAATATGTACAAAAAAAACTATAATTGTGCACAGCCCGAAGCACAAACAGGCCAATCAATTTCTCCTTCCCAATTTCCAAACTTCTCAGTGAGCTTTGTTACTTTGTTTTGGCAGGAAATCTTTCTCTCTTTGCCAGGCCTCTTTTTTTCTATTAGTCTTTCTTTATTCACATCTGGAGAGGCGGTAAGTCCTGATAGGACAGAATCATTTCTTCCTGCCTTAAATTAAAGGAACTTCAGCCAAGGTCAGCTCTCTAGGATGAGCGCACAGAATTCTAAAGCCCGAACCACTAAAACCCCGAACCGCCCAGCCTGCCTGTTTGTCTGGACTAATGATGATGGACTGTAACTTTCATTCGCAATACACAATTAGCTGCTGCTCCCTGCAAACACAGCTTTCACACACACAGGACAAGCATTTGTAGCACAATGTGTCTTAGCTCTGCTTTCAGCTAAACAATTACCTGAAAATACAGAGTTGTCAAGGGATACTGTTGGTGCGCAGAGAGCTAAACCAGCTCCAATAGGTTTTTCAGTTTTATTAGACTGTATACTGAGGATAGAGAGGAGTGAAGAATAGTATGAGTCCTATGTAAACCTGAAGCACAACAGTACCCCATGTACTGGATTTAGCTGCTGAGAAGTGTCCACATATCAAAATGTCTTTGCTAACATGTAAAACTATTTCTTTAGCCATGACCACAATCGTCCCCTAACCATAAAAAAAATATTTGGGTGCCTAACCTTTAACCAAACCCAGCTTATGGAGAGGGGGCAAATGAGAAAATGCTCATATGAATCGTCTTTGTAATATTCTGTCTGATGTGTTTTGGAAGGCACTGATGAATGGGACACCCTTGTGACAGGGACACTAGATCAGAAAGAACCATATGGGTCCTTTTGAAAGCTTTGTCTAACAACCTGTTTTGTAATTTTGGTCTTGTTGGAGATCAACCCACACATACAGTATCCTTACATAATTAATGCTTCCACTTACATTTTATTTGTCACATTTAGCATTTCATTTACAATGTGCATAGTTGTCCAAACCATTACTCAAGTGGCTTACTGCATTCACAAGTAACCTGCACACACAGAGAGGACTATGAAATTACTCCTTTATGCATACACAAATGCAGGCAAGCAGTGTCTGCTTATCCGCTTGGTCATTTATACGTGACTGCAGTTATTCTGTGTGAGTGTGCAGAGGCACTGACAGCTGAGGAAAGACCTTCATCAGTGTAACAATCCCCAGACAGTCAGCCCTTCAGTCAGTCAGTCAGCTAGCTAACCCTCGCTCTGCATTTATTATTAATCACAGAATTACACTGGGGCGCTCTCCAAACGATGTGGGTTGACAGGGGACAAGTCATGATAGAATATGCAGTTGTCTGCATAATGCACAGCAGGTGGGGTATCAGACGCTGATATGAAGCACAAATATTGCATGAGGTTTCTGCAGTTATTACTGTTAGATGATGGTGGTGGGATCAGGGGCAGTGATGTAGATTGTCAACACACAGAACCACGAGCAGAGAAAATGAATCTGACTGGGTGCTGTGTAAATAAGTCTGATTAGATGTGGGTATTGGGAGTATGCAATTCTATCTTCTTGAAGCATAGCCACTGATTTTTTTTTTTTAAATCTTCATTTCCACACAGAAGTGATTCCTTGTCTTGTTATCCATACTTATTTCTTAGAGCTGCCAGACACAGACCTTAGAAGCATTATGACCTATAATGCTTGAACAGTATGTCAGTGCTGTGTCAGAATTGGCCATTTATCAAAACCTCTTTAGCCACAGAAACCTTTGACTGCCACTCAGAATAATCACAGTCTCCCACTATTGATCTCTGATCAGCTCCACAGGATCAGCTAGGAGGTTAAGTGCCGTTAGCTGAGGGGGGTGCAGCCATCATTCATTAATTTTTCATCATCACTGACCATCAACCTTCCCAAACCAAAGGAAAAACTCACTTACAAGGGCATTGCATCACATTAAGTAGAATAAAATGTGTATTAATCAAAGTGCTACTTTGAGCTGTGACTGTGTGTCGAGATAATCTCCATTCAGGAGCGATGTAAGGGCTCGTCCAGAACCGGAGAGAGAGAGACAGAGAGAGTCGAGGTGATAACTAATGCGCCCGGGCTTAGCTTCACCTTTGATGTTTGTACCAGAAATCCAAGGTGCTCAGAGCCTATCTGTCCTTGAAGTGAACACACCCAGGAATCCCTGGAGAGGCAGAGATATTCTAATCCGAAAGCCAGCTAAAACCTAGAGAGGAAAGTTGACTTTGTATCGATTTCTTTTCTAACTCACTGTGGGTGTCTTCTGATCATAGTTAATGAAACATTGCATGGCTTCACTACTCACTGATGCATATTTGGCCTGAAGTCAGAGCTGCATCTGGAGACACTTATCATGTGGAGAGCTGCCTATACATTAAAGCTTAAAGCAGTAGTTCACATTTCTGGATTATTTAAAGCATGAATTCATGCAGTTTAAACTCATGAGAAGTCAGCTGGCCATATTTACTTTTTCGGGTTTTCACAGGAATGTCTTAATATGCATGTGGATGTAACATCAAAACCAACTTTTGTTCTTTCATATTTAATCTACCTAATAGACAAGTAACTTTTGCACTTTTTAAACATTTCTATCAAGAATCATTTTTAACCCCAGTTGAATATGCAGAGCAGCTAATAATTTAGAATGAACTGCTCATGAACTCATTTTGGGAATTGCAGTTTTTAAATAAATATTCGACTAAACAGAAGTGTTACTTGAAGTATGAGGCAATTTTTAAGGAACCATTACATCCCAATAAACCCATAGTCTTGATGTAAAAGTTGGGTTGTGAGGACGCGTGCGTAAGGCCATGTTTGATTTCATCATCAGTGACATCTTCAAGGGTGCAGTCAATCCAGCGGTTTTGCTGCCAGACTTTTGTTTTCTCAGCCATCAAAGGCAGCAGAGCCTCTGGATAGGTTGGTGTGTATGGCAGGATGATTCATCCCATTGTATGAAGCATCAAAACGCTGCAGTATTGGACACTGGTCTTTTTTTGTGCCTGTGATGTCTATATTTCATAGGTGGTGCAGTGTGAATACTAAGGTCAGGCTGACATATTGGTTTATTGAGGGTATCGAGTAAGTGCTGCCTCATTATTAAGAATCAGATATTGGCCAGACAACCCTCTGCCTCATATATTTAGTGAAGAATTGATCAGTACACTAGTCCTTTTGTGAAGTTCCTAGCCTGCAATTATTCTTATTACTGTAGCACCAGTAATAGATGTCCTTATAGATTACTTGTTGCATATAATTGCATATTTGTATAATTACTTTCTTGGGTTTCTTTGGAGCATATTAGTGTTTGGAGAAATGCTGAGTTAATGAGTTAATGTTTTGTTTTTTGCCATCAGTACAACTCAAATCTACAGTCAGCACCACATGAAAATGCTTTTTACGAAGGGACTTCACAGAAGTAGTAATCCTAAATTCCTCAGACAAAGACGTGTCTGAGGGGAGTTCACAGATGTATTTTAGGGCAAGACCTAATTTAGCATTGAACTTAATCACTTAAATGTTGAAATCAATTTAAGATAGGATAAAATAGGAGTGATGTGATCATGCTTCCCTGAATAATTAACATCCTTGATGCCACATTTTGGACCAAATGCAATCGAGAGAGAACTCTGGCTTATACGTGGTTTAAATAAAAGCATGGATAACTTTCTCCAGATTAGATACGTCATTTGATATATTAACTTGATATGTTTTTTAAGTGTAGAAAGCAAGGCTGTACAACCTTCTTGGCTGGAGCATCAAAACTGAGGTTGGATTTAAATAGGACTCCCAGATTTCTAGACACATGCTCAACATTTATTATGGATCCACTCAATGGAGCTTGGAGAGCCAAATTAAAGGATCTCTGATTTACTGTAGTTTAGCAGCAGAAAATGGTTGGACATCCAGCAGTTATTGAGAGTGCCAACACTGGTGTTATGGGTACATACAGCATGCTGTCATCTGTATTAAACAAAAAACAATATTTGATTTCCAAATTATATCCCCAAAAGGATAGCATATAAACTAAAAAAAGAAAGCAGAAGTGAACCTGAAACTGAACCTTGTGGCACATCACATGTGAAGGGCAGTAGAGGATGAAGCATTACCAAGTTCAGAGGGTACGATGAGAGAGTACAGTTGTGTACCCACTGTAATTCATTTATATGTGTCTCTGCATTACATAAGAGATTTATATTAACAATGCACTGTCAGCGGGTTGGCTGAATACTTTTTCCATGTCCTTGTGTTTTTTATCTACAGATCTCCCCAGGCGGACTGAATAAACGAGTTGATTCTAACAGAGCTACGCTTGTCCTCAGTCTACTTGTGGTCTGACGGCACTCACCGACATCAAAGGTACACCCGCCTTTCTCTCTACACCTCCAGCCTCCTTTAATCACTTTGTTCAGCTCATCATTGCAGTAATTACATTTCCTGACAGTTTTTTGGGGGGTTTGCAAATCCAAGACTTCACTTGCTCTGTTATCTCTCCTTGAGGCAGCTTCACTTCACTTCACTTTGTCGCTAAGGTACCTTGTATGATTTTTATTTCAATACATTCAGGAGCTCTTTCCTTCAGGAAATATGCTCTGAATTTAATAATTCACCCAGTTGAATCAACTCAGGTAAATGTCAGTTGAAAATTGGTTTTTCTCTTGACAGCTTTTAGTGTATTTTAGAGCTGAACAGGAGAGGACGTTTGTTCTGGTCCAGTGTCACCTGTTGTGAGATACAACCTCACACACCTAATTACCATTTGGATGTCTTATGTGCTCCAAAAGACTTTCTCTGTTTTGTATACCTCTGCTTTAAAAACTTGGAAAGACTCTTTTGTGCCTTTCTCTCTTTAAAAAGTAGGACACAGAGTACATTATGGCTAATTGAAATACTGACTGATGTTTATGTCTATTAAAGCTTTGTGCATTGCTTTTTAGGAAAATTATTCCCTTATAAAGATCTAGATGCTACTCAACTCTAAACCATGATCTTCTTACTGTAGTTGATCTTAAGCTATTTTTATAGTCCCTGTTCAAGAATTGGTGTAAAACGGAAGGAAGAGAAGGCATTTAAAACAGATTTTAGAGGCTTTGTACATCCCATACAGAATTCTGTATCGTGTTTCTTCTGTGATAAAATACATGACTATCTATAAGTCGTAATGAACTGTTACAGCTTCAAAGAGATGAACTAAATGTATATTTGCATTTAAAAGTATGTTTGTATGTGTTTGTTTATGTGTGTGTGTTTGTCAGTGTTTTCCGGCCTGAAATCCTCCACATAGCGAGGCGGTTCAAAGAAAAGGGATGAAATAAAATATGGATGGTAAACAACAGCTGCATTTCTTTTCTTCTAGCTGTGAAAGTGATCAGCTATGGACTCCATGCACCTCGCTAAGCTTTGCTTATCCTAGCATCACTGAACAATACCCCTCTGGGCATTAACACTCGCTTTAATGTTCCTCAAAGCAATGACTTGAATCCTAAATTGAAGGATGGTTCATTCCTGGTGACAGGACATTTCTGTTGCATCTTTTATAAGTTAGTCACTTATTGTAACGGTCCTGTGCTACTTAGACTATTAGATATTTATTGGAAATGACAATCATCTTTCATTAATTACAAGGTAACCTACCGAGTATAGTGATTTTAGCTAATACTGTGAAAAAGCTGCCACTTACATCCATTGGGTTTTATTTTCTTTAAAAAAAACTGTTAATTTATTAATAAAACAAACTTTTCAAATTTTTCAATGACAGTTGAAGACTTGGGTTTGCTTTGCTGCTATACTCTCTTAAAAACATTTTGAAAATGGCAACATTTACCTACAGTTGTCAGGTCTGTCATCCAGTGACGAGTAAAAGCTTTGTTTTCTTCTCATGAGTAGGACTAATTCAAGTTGACTTTCATGTTCATGAGTAGTGCTTTTAACGAATCGCAAAACTCATAAAAACCTTCCTGTTGGTGAGCAGAAATTCCCAACACGGCATATTGTAATTATGATGAATCACTTTACTGTCAGTCACTCTCTGCAAGAGCTTTGACATATTGGACAGCTTAGCCAAGGAGAAAAATTCTCTTAAGAGCCTGAATATTAGTGGCTCTGAAAAGGGCAGTTTAAGGCAGAGCAATACCCCCTTATATCACCTATTTGCCTTTTTACTATATGAAAGTATTATCATCAACAGTTAACACAGGTAGATTAAAGACTGCTTCCACCACCACATCCACGCAAATGCACACACAGTAGGAAGAGGAGCAGGTGTTTATAAGTCCCCAACTGTGCCACGGAGAGCTGCATCCTCAGATGGGCATCAGATGGGTTTAGACAAGGAATTAATTTGAGCTGCAATTACACCCTCTGGAAAGGGGTAAATTGGTGGTGAGGGGGGAGGAAGGACCCCACCACCCACCAAGTCCCTAATCAGGTGAATGTTTCTAACCCAATATCAGGCACTGATGGTCACACTCAATTATCCTCATCCTTTACCTCCCAATCTGTTCCCCTATCCCCCTGATAACCCCTACTCAAACCACTCAAGACACACCGCTTCTTCTCTGGGCGGCCTCATCAGTAGCTATAGTCCTCCTTTGTCCCTGCTCCTATTCCTGATATGAGACAAAAGTGAAAGCAAGAATTTACATTTTGGGAAATATTCTAATTTGCTTTCTTGCTGAGAGTTAAAGGAGAAGATTGATACCATATAAGGCTATAGTCAGCAGCAAGTTAGCGTAGCTTAGCATAAAGACTGGAAACGGGGAAACAACAAACATGGTTCTGTTAAATAGAAAACGTACCTATCAGCATCTCTAAAGCTCTCTAAACATGTTATACTTGTTTGTTTGGTCCATTGTTGCAGCAAGAAAGTAGTAATCTCAGCCAAGAAATAGTCAGGTACAACCCCTCAAGTTTTTACACTTATTATTTTGTACTGATTAAACAAACAAGATATAACATGGTAATTAGTTTTTTCATTTTGGACAGAACCTGGCTAGCTTTTAACACTAAATAAGCTGCGCTAATGAACTACAGACATGAGAGTGTTAATCTATTGGGAAAAAAAGCTAACTGATGCATTTCCCAAAATGTTGACATGTTGCTTTAAGATCGGCATTACTGAAATGTAAAGTTAAAATTATTTCAGGGTGCCACCTCATTTTACTCCTTAAATTCACAAGACACCCACAGGCCTTGTGGTTAAAGCTGCACTTGGCATATTTCCACACTAGTGGTTTCAAAGGGGCAGTGCTAGTGAGACATAACAGCAATAAATCTAGTTGTATATTGTCAGTCGACTATACACAGCAGAATCATACCAACCGGCCCAGTTTGTGATGCTTTTCACCAGAGGATACCAAAGGAACAAGAGAGGCAGAAGATCAAATGTTGGCCATTCTAGTTTGCTCTGGTCAGAGCATTGCATGTTGCTCGAGGCAGAAAAGTTTCCATATACACAAAGCAAGAATTTTATCTTGGCAATGGGGGAATCAACAAGGTTTTAGTTCAGACAGATAGGACTTTCTTCTCCCTCGCAGCCCTATTTTTGTGATTTAGTTGTGGTGTCATATAGCAAGATAACCAGACCTCTAGCTGCTTACTCATTTAAGGCTGTTCTTGAGAATATCATCACTTAAATGCTTGCCAGTTTGCTACAGAGAGGGGTATGATGGCAAAGGGTCTTGTCATTTGAAGATTTGTTTTAGGGGAGGACCTGATGAATAAGGTGCCAAGGATTTAATACTGGATTTTCCAGCAAGCCTTTGAAGTGAGCGAACGCTGCATCTCATCTGCCGATCCACGCTCAAAATTGTGGTCGTGTGTGTGTGTGTGGGGGGATATATTTATTACTGGGCTATTTTTAGAGCTGAGGGTTTGTGCTGAAGTGCATTTATACTTGAGGAAAAGCCTTGCAGCAGCTGGTAGTGAGGTGCCACATCTACTCTACACATGGAATATGAACCTGTTTTTCATTTTAATTAAAGATGTTTATGCCTTAAGAGTAGTCAAATCTAACACACTTCCCTAATTAAACATTTCATCTCTTTGATTAGTTATCATCCCCTCCACTCATAAACTTCCAATGGTGGCATCCACCAATGACACTTCTGCCCTTGGAGTTGTACTTTGATATGTTTCCACCACATAAAGTTTGGACTAACTAGAGCGTGTGGTAATTGAGAATGGGGTTAAATGTGCAGACCATGGCTGTGTTTTTATCCCCTCTGACTCGGGCCATTAGCAAACATCTGCTGAACCAAAGCTTTAAAAAAAATAACCAGGGCTGTCATGGTTGCGGAGGGGAATTCTTTAGACGCCCCTCCCTGTGCTATTTTAAGTAGGCCCAGAAGTTTGTGTTTAATGATAAGCTGTGGGGCGTAGCTGACATGCCTGCCATAATATTCCCTTTATGACTCAGGAAGCAATGGTTACGTTGGCCCCCAACCCTCTAGGGGTGTGAATCATTAGAGTCCGTCATCAAGTATGTCCAATCAACATGGCTTATGGTAATCTATTGCTGTCGGTTATCTCAATTAGTGGATGGCTTTGTAAATAGAAAAGGATGCTATTTTTGCGAGTAGTCATCATTACCCAGCACTGTTTCCATTTTGAACCTAAATAACCAGCTGATGACTGTAAACTCATGCCAGTATTTTAGTGAGAAGGAAGGGTAGATCTCTGGTTTGAGAATGAAAAAACTGGCTAAATAGAATGAGATCATATTCTCATACAGGGATAAATATATTCACATGGATGTGGAGTTTAACTTTGAAAACACAGGCTCCTCAGCATGTATTGCTTTGTGAGAAAGAGTGAAGGAAGAGTGGTGTCAGACTCCACTCCACTCCAGATAAATAAATGATCAGCACGCAACAAACATCAAAGAGGGATTGTGTGCTTCAAAGGGAATGAGGGCCTCACACTCACCAGGTCCTATAGTGAAAAATGAATCTTGTGTATACGTACACACACACACACACACACACACACACACACACACACACACACACACACACACACACACACACACACACACACACACTCTCTGTTTCTGTAATCCGACCTGTTTGAGATTCTAATGGTTGCATCTGCATTGATCATTCCCTGCTGAGCCAAACCACCCCTCCTCAATCTTTGTCTGTTTCAGTGACAGGAACAGCTAGAAAATACCCAAAATGCTTTGATATAATGTCCTTCCTGACTCTGTGTAATTTCTTGGTTTTTGTAAAATACCTTCTTGTTTAACATTTTAGTGCCAAAATAAGCACTCACCTTACATCTCTGTTTTAAAGAGCTAATTCCTAATCTGAGACATCTTGGAGACAAGGAGTCATCTCACCACAGTTATTTTGTTATTCAAAGGTTTTTATGCTGACTGGCTGAATTGCTTAAAAAACACGTCTTTCACTCTATGATTGAGCAGTCCAGTCCAAGGCCAAGGTTGAAAACCTAGCCTTAAAAATAGACCTGTGCTTTGAGTAAAGGTAATTTATGACAACAGTAAAATAAATCAACAAATAAATAATGAACTAAAGCAAATATATAAATAAATATATGGTGAACAAACTATAGATGTTTATTTTGAAATGTACATAGATGATACTGTGTACCTGTTTGGTGAGATTTGGGTTTACCATAAAGTCAAATACAAAGCAGAACTGCAGGAGTCCAAAACAATTTTCCCTACAGGGACATTAAAGTATATTCTATATTATTCTATTCTAACCATGTGCTGTGTGTTGCTTTTCATTTCTGTTTTAACCTCTGGCTTTTTCTCTTTTGTCTTCCCTTTGTCTTTCTTTCCCCTCTCTCCCAGCTCTCTGTTCTTCTTGCTGTCTCATCCTTCTGCTTCTGTTAGAGTGGGGGATGTCTGTTTTCTAACACCTCTCAGCCTGCTTATCTACTAGGTCTGTATTGTTCTGGATTGGTATTTCCAACCCCATTTGTTATTGTGCCGTCAACCCCCTTGATATCATGTCACCATCAGTTATGGATATCAGGGTGTGTGTGACTGTGATACACACTGTGGCTTGCAACTGTTATCTGGAAATCATGATGTACAGTGTATATGTGTGATACCAGGGGCTGGTGTCCGTGTGGCTGGCTGTGGGAAGCTTGCATGTGTTGGATTTGTGCCTGCAACAGTGCTTGTGTGTCACAATGCATTATGGCTCTGTGCATGACTATATCCAATAACAGCGCCATTCCGCCACGCTGGATATTATTGTTCATTCTGGGGTGCGATCATTCCTTTCCACCTTTTGGATGTCCAGAAACAAGAATCTTTGTTTTTGTGAGTGTGCACTGTGCTGTTTCATTCCCTTTGTTGTACTTGGAATTGGTGGACCATATTTCCATTTTGCTGCAGATGTCCCGGCAAAACTGTATTGAATTTTATCTGTGGTGCCAGGATTGTCTTAATTACAAGAGAGGCTCAAACCTCTGAAAGTGAAAACATAATTAGCACCCAGCAGAGAATCCTTTCAGCTTAAAGTCTTTGCTATGCTGGGCATGAAGTATCAGAAACTTCCCCATGTAAATTGTGGAAAGAATTTGAGCTTGTCCATTTAGGGTATTGGTGCAGTCTAACTTGAACCCATTTGACTGTAACAGATTCTCTCTATACTATGACCCTACCTCCCCAGTGATCCAGTCAACCATCATAATTGTTCCATTTTGATGTGTCATGTTGGTTTCATGTTGCTTGTGCTGTATGCCAAATCATCAATTTCCCATTTTGGCCAATAAGTAAGTCTTGTACTTGACTTTGAATTTGAGGCATGCCGCTCACCCAGTCTTCTGGGTGTCTTTAATGACGTGGTGCCCCCTCCTCCCCCTTCTCTTCCCTCCCTTCCCAAATTGGAAGATCTGTACAACTGCAACCAACACTGGACATGGAGGACTATGATGTTCGCTCGGCTGCCAGCATCCTGGCTTCGGTGAAAGAGCAGGAGGCACGTTTTGAGCAGCTGACCCGAGCCCTTGAGGAGGAGCGTCGCAACGTCACTCTGCAGTTAGAGCGCGCAAACCTGCCTCCAAACCCCCCTACCAGCCAACCGCTAGCATGGCAGCAGGTGGTGATGCAGGTAAATGATGCCAGCATGCTGGCCAACCCCCCCCGTCATTTTCAAACACCTACCTGCGCTACCATGTGTGTGCCTCCCTGCCAGCCCCTCTAAAGCGACATTCTCACAGTAGTTTCCTACTTCCATCTGAGCAAGCTCTTTCCACCTTCATGTTTACTCACGGTCAGTGCTTTTCATCACTGGTGGGACTCAATAATCTCTCTGTTCAATTTCTCTGTGATTAGGGGAACTTGTTCCCTTTGTCTGTACCCACTGTCCTGAATGTTGTGCAATAATCTGCCCTGTGGTGACTCATCTTTAAAAGCGAGAATCATGATGAGATTCAACCTCTCATTCTGCCTTCTTTCGCTTCCTCCTTCAATGACACTGCCTGCCATACAATCCCATCTTCTTTCGCCCACTGGTTTTTGATATGTCCGGTGGTGCTGCTGATTGGATGTGGCCTTTCACCCAGCTCTGGCCATCGTCTGATGGACATTAGAGTCCTGGTCAGGGCTCCTGTCAATGCTGGCCGACTCTGCAGGAGCAGGAAATGTAAGATGTAGAAATGAGACAGCTGTAATCCCCTAAAAATGTCAACAATCACAACAGCTCATTGATTTACAAACTGTTAGCTGCCACAGTGACAAATGTTACAGTAACAGTCCACTCTTCTTCTGCTTATAACTACATAACAATATAACATCTTATTGTTGAGGGTATTTTCAGCCTGTTCAGACTGACACACTCGGTTGTGTGGATATTCTCCCAGTGTTTTTATTCTTGGGTATGATCACCTCTATGAGGAAGCCCTTTCAGACGGTACACATGTTTTACTAATGAGAATGTGAAAGCACAATTTGGCAATGCAGCACCTGTAGCACTTAGATACATCACCTTTAATCATGGTAAAGGAGACAGGTATTATTGATAGAGCAAGACTTGCAGAGATGGAATTGTTTTGCCAACATTTGCCTGCAGTTGCATTTGCCTGCAGTCACATTTTGTTAACAGTCGGTGTCAGTGTTCATTTTTAAAGGGCTTGCTGCCAATTTGGCCTCATGAAGGGATAATGAAGAAGAAGCAGGAAAAGCATAGCAGGGCAAAGTAAACTTGTCATCCTCTCACCCACCACAGGGGTAATCTCTGTTTATATATGTTTGTGTGTGTGTGCGTAAAGAGAGAGAGAGAGAGAGAGAGAGAGTGCGATATTCTTCCCTCCACATAAACTGGTCCATGATTTACTGGACAGCGCTTAACATGACAGGGCAGTGAATTAACCTGCTCGCTCATGCTATCAATCGTAGATCAGACTCATAGATACCCCATCCACCCCCCTTGCTGTATGTACATTGTGGGGCCAATTGGGCATAACAGGCTACAGCTCACGTAACCATGCCCCATTTTACATCCCTTTGAAATATCATTCGATCACCCAGCATTGGACTGTCTGCTTTATTATAAATGCCAAAGCAAAGTAGATGTGTGTGTGTGTGTGTGTGTGTGTGTGTGTGTGTGTGTGTGTGTGTGTATGTGTATATTGGGTGGTCAGTGTCTGGTCTAGGGCAAACAGCACCTGAGTGCTTGGCAGGACATGTGCTCTGTCTTGGGCCAGAAGGTGCTGTGTTGTGTGTAAGTGTGTATGTGTGTGTGTGTGTGTGTGTGTGTGTGTGTGTGTGTGTGCTGCACCTGGAGACCCACTCCTTCACATAATGAGAAGGTATGAGCGATGAGGAATGTATCAGGTTGTTCTCTTTCTCTCTTTCTCCTCCTTGCTTCCCCACACACTTGCACCCCAGGCTGCTTGATGGATTAAAATGGAGCATGGATCAGTAACTGGAGGTTCAGATTTTCAACCTTAGGGCCAGACTCAATGAGCCTTACCATTATTTAAAGTTGGGGTCAGAAAAGGAAAAGTGGACCAAGTCTGATTAATAAAATCAAATGCAAGAAGATGCCTAATGAGAGTGATAAGTCACTGATCTAGATAGCGCTGTGCTACACGGTGCTCACCTCGAGACAGATTGGGTCTAAACACCAGCGGGCAGCGAACGCTTTTATCTGCCTTCATCATTCAGATCAGTATTGTCAGCGTTTTATCACAGTCGAGCTAGAGAGAGCAGGTTCAGTTCCCAGAGATTGGTGCAGATTACTTCACACACATCAGCACAGCACCGTATGATTGGTCACTTCAAACAGTGCTCTGAAACTCTCAACACTACTTGCTTCTTTCATCAATCCCCCCACCCTCAGTTTGTTGAGTTTAACGCAGCAGGCTCTTCTGTCCAGTGCAGCCTGGATGTGGCGTGAGGCATGGCCCTGGACAGTAGCCAAATGATTCAGATAAGTCATACAGTGACAAGTTTGACAGTGTAATGCGGAAAAATATAGCAGTCCCCTTCAAATTTAAAGTCAAGAAGATTTGTAGCCTTTCTATATGTTGAGTCTGTGAGAAAGCTTTGCCTAATGTTCATGTGAACATAAACGTTTTGCACAATAAGGAATAGTATTTAGAGGTGTGGCTCTGGAGATGGCAATGTTGATTAGTTGCAGGGGCGGATCTAGAGTAGTGCCATGGGGTGGCAGCTGCTAGCCCTGCAATTAAATCAGCATATATTTCTGACATCAATGAAAGTCTCCATGCCACCCTCTTGTCATCCCACGAATATTTCTTTAAATCCGCCCTGGTTTGTTGGTCCGTCCACCACTTTGGTCTAGACTGTAATGTGAAATATAATAAAATCTCAGCAACTAGGCTGCTGGATGGATTATGCGTGAAGAAGATAAATCCTGATGATCATCTGACTTGTCACCTAGCACCACCAGCAGGTCAAATTTTTCACTGATCTCGTGAAATATATTGATATTTCCCAAATGCACTGGCACAGCATTGGACTGATATTCATGGTTCCCAGATTCTGACTTCTTAGTGCCATTATCTGGTCAAAATATTAATGTGCCCAATGGCTTACCTTATACCTGCCAAATTAATAACATTACCAGAAGTTTCAGCTATACATTGTATTTAGTAACAATTAGCAAATGTTACATTAAATGGTGAAAATGGTAAACAAACATTTAGCTCTTGGTCTTGTTGAACCATTAAGAAAATTTGAGACTAGTGTGTCTATTCCATGTTGTTTTCTTTGCTAGCTAAAGATCCTGCATATACATTTATATTTGTGGAGACAAAATAATCCCACATAAGAAAATTAGCTCCAACCACTAATAAATCACCCTCTGATATTAACACAAATCGCCCTCCTTAGCTGGAGTGAAAAAACAACTGAATAGGATTAAAGAATATTGTGGTTCAACATGTTTCAAATATCAATTTATGAAATTTGTTTTGGCCCTGCATGATGTAAACACAGGGTATAAAAAGGTAGATCACTACAAGACACTTTGTTTTGGAACAAAAGGTGTGCAAGAAGTTCTTGTAAACAGCACTGCCCTACTTTCTGAGACCTTACTAATTGAATTCTGATCCTCATTCACTTCAGTATAACACTTTATGAATTGCCGCCAAGGAAGAGAATTAGAGTGTTTACGCTGTGCTGCCCGGTGAGAAACATTAGAACAATGCTGTCGGACACTTAGCTTTCCTGATGTAATTATCAGTAGAGATTCAGTGACACGGACCGAGACGCCTTTGAATCTGGATCCGTCTACAGTCCCTACATGTGACTACTCACATGCTAAGATCCTACCCTTTCTTCATTTGATATTGCGTTTGCCTGTGGTAATTGATTTTTGCCTGAAGGAGTGTTATCGCCAAGGCTCTGAAAGGTCAAGTGGTGCATGGTGACAGTTCTATGTGTGGAGAAAGGCAGACAGCACTCAGACAACCACGTCTGTTTTGGAGCTAAGGGAGAAGGTGACCTCATTTCATATACACCAGACGCCTAATCTACCCACGGCTGCTGCCCAGCACATGCACAGATCCCATCTCGTGATGCATACAATCACCCGGCTTCATTGAAAAGGAAATTCAGGATTATTTCTCGCACTGTGGATATCATTAAATGTTGGTGTTTGGTATTCTGATGCTATATTCAGCGGGCTTCTAGCATTGCAGGCGCATATCATCCCCCTGTGCAAATGTTGTGGGAAGTTTTTCAAAGGCTTGTGAGGTTTGGAGAGAAGGAACAGTGCAGCCTTTGATCTCTGCTGCTGTCTGTGGTGAAGATGTACAGGCCCTGCGATGGCACTACAGCTCTCAACCAACAATCGCTTCAGCTACCCTCCACCCACTTTCATCCCCACAGCCCCCCCCAAACCCTGTCTAAGCACAATGGACACAAAGGGTGCTATAGGGACAGAAGATCTATCCTTCCACTGGCAGGGCGCGGGAGCCCCTGTACCCTCGTAAATCACCTGCCTAACAATGAGCCTTGGTGTACCCCTCCCCTCCTCTATCTTCCCCTGCCTTTTTCTCTCACTGTGCCATCAGGAACCTCCTCTCCTCTCATAAACACCCTAATTACCTTGGTGTAAAAGTGCCTCCTCTGTTTATTTTTGTATACCACACTGTTCCCGTACCCTCCTGCACCACCCTCCTCTTATATTGTAGTTTCATGGAGCAGCCGGCAGGAAAGTCACATTTAAATTCTAATATTGTTGCTCCTTGTTTTCCACGTTTCCATATGGAACATCTAATCATGCTTCGTAGCAGTTTAAAGGTTACCTGGTCCTATATTAGCGATGTAAAGGAATACAAATATATTGTGCATTGTGAATAGCATCTTAATGTATGCTGCAGAGGCCTGACGAGGTACAATTATAGAATTATTCCATTAGAAAGGTACAAAGAGAAAAGATTTTCTGTAGTTATTTTCTACCAATCTCACACATTTGTGAGGGTCCACTGCTCCACTTAGGCAGGTCTACATTAGACATACAGTACTGAATGGAATTCAAATAGAAGAGTAGATTGTACCATAAACTCGGTTAGGTTGGTGGTTAAATTCTCAGCTCTTCCTAACAGCATGTCAAGGTGTAAAGGACTCAAAAGGCAATGC